ATATTCCTTGTATGGATAGACTACATTTTGTTATCCTTCATCCATCAGTGTATACTTGCTTGCTTCCATCTTCTGGCTATTGTTTATAGGTGTGCAGATATCACTTTGCAATCCTGCTTTTAATTATTTTGGGTATATACCCAGAAGTGAAGTTGCTTGATCAAACATTAAATCTTTTTTTCAAAAGATGAATATTTTTTAATTTTTTGAGCAACCATTATTATGTACCTATCATTTTACATTCCCACCCAGAAGGCATGTAGATTGCAATTCCTTCATATCCTTGCCAACACAATTATTTTCTGTTTTTTTTTTAAATAATTATAATCCTAATGGGTATGAAGTAATCTCTTACTGTGGTTTTAATTTTCATTTCTCTAATGACTAGTAACATTGGATACCTTTTTCATAAGATATTTGTTAAAAGACGATTTTAAGTGCCAGTATTCTTCTTTAAGAAGATGAGAATTTCTTTCTCACATAATAACATTGAGAGAAATCTTAGTAAACTTTAGTAAGATATAATGCTATAAAGCACTATCCAAAGTTCAAAATAATGAAATATTAGTATTCTGCTATGGTTTCTCAGTTAGTCAAGAATATTACTTTTAAAAAACCTGTATAGTTAATCTTTCATCCCTTGCTTTAACTCATGAATTTTCTTATCTCGAAATTCCTCTCAAACAGCTATAAGCTTCCATTTTTCAACTATTTTATTATAAGTGACCAGAAAAATGCATGTCTTTATTTCTCATGAAATGGAAGCAAGAAATAAATATACCATACTAAAAAAATTATCAAAAAATAACAATAACCAATTTCTCTTACCTAAGTCTATGTGATTTTAATAATGTCATGTGTAGGATTGTTTATTATTTGCTGAATTTACCTACCCAGCATTAGGCACCAGACATCCAAAGATGAAACAAGATAGTCTGATCTAAAAATACAGTCTAATGACAAGAGCAGTCAAGAAGCTCATCAAATTTAATACAGAATGAATGACATATGGACAATGAGAATAAATTGCTCAATATCTTATGGGAGAAGAGCACAATAATAAGTTAGGACCCAGCATGTACTAAGGGAAGAGGTATGAGATGTGAGCTAAGAGAATGAGGTAAATACATAGTGTACTTTGGAAATATTTGAAGATATCAAATACATAATCAAAGTTTTTCCATAAATTCTGTTAAGTTCATCCTCAATTTCTCTTGACCTTGCATTTTAATTGTGGTTCAGTACTTGTATCTCAATAAGTAACTTGAATGGATTGATGTGTACAGATTTAAATACCTCACTGATTATTGCTTGAATTTTACACAAGTTGAAACACACAATAATGTTTTATCTGTCTCGTTTTACAATCATAATCTTACAAGGTCATTTTCTATATAATTTATTTTGCATTAAATTTGTACTTCCTTGTTACACAGAAGTGGGAGAATTTATAGTCCATAAAACAGTTTCATGTTTTGTAAAAAGTTTTTTATCTATTTTATTCTCACTGCCAAGGCACTGATTTCCTTAGGAACTTATATTATCAAATTTATTTAACTGAAAAACTTTGATTAGAAGTGATGATATAGAGAGGGAGAAGTCACCTTAATATTTGAACTTACAGATTGAAGATTGATAGTTTTAAATTAGCAGTGAAGTTGAGGTGCTCTGTTAGAGATCTGTGCTTGAGCTAAAATTAAGCTCTTGGGTGAGATGTGGTTTCAGGTTCTGATGGCTTTTGAATGGAATTAATATCAAATAATTTCTGATTTGACATTATCTGATGCATACTGAGAAGCATCAAACACAGTTCTATCATTGTGCATCTGAGCACACCGAGATGAACAGAACTCAAGTAATTAGATCAAGGAAATACAATTAGAGTAATAAATTGTAATATAACCAGACATGTAAGTAAGTCTTCCACTTTGAGTGAATTAGTTAGTAATAAAGAATAATAGAAATATTCCCTCTTTGGGAGATTTATTGAAATTTGGTGATATATATATATATATATATATATATATATAATCACTTGCATAAATCTGCTCTTATTTTTTGCATATGAAGGTTGCTTGCCCCTATACTAAGCTAAATAAAAGAGGTCATACTCATGTAGAATTTTCTTTGAATTGAAGGGCTTACATAAATTGAAATGCTTACAAAGAGATAAAAGGGAATGCATTCAGAGACAAAAATTGCAAGCAGAACTAATGTAGAAATAAGAGAAGTTGTCCCATTTTGAGTCTTGCTTTCTGAGTGTCATTTTCTCTCTCCACACTTGTAGTTATAAAGGCAGTTATGTTCATATTCCCCAGCTTTCATGAGCATTGGCTGATGTTAGTCCTTCTCTCTGCAGGCTGAGTTCTGAGGGTAATGGGGGGGAAAAACCCAGTTATTTGGGTCATTCAGTTCTGCTCTTTCGCTTCTATTGGGAGGGAAACTCCGGAGGAATCCATTCAACCATCAAACCTCTCTATTCTCTTTCCTTAGACCATTTCTATCAAAAGTCTTTATTTTTAAACTGTTCTTCTTTGGTTGGTGTCACTCATGTACATTGCTATATGAGAATCTGGGTTCAAGGACCACTTTAACTGCAATCTCCTTTAATCTCCTTTAATGGTGGTCATGGACATGTCTTGATTTTGTGCTTGTTTTGCTTAAGATTTTGTTTCATTTTTTTTTACAGCAGTTTTAGGTCTCCAGGACTTGTCTTGTTTAATCAATGAAAAACTAAAGTAGCTAACATGTACCAAATGTTGCCTCTTGTGTCTGCTCTAATTTAATCCTGGCAATCTGTGTAAAATAGAAATTATTTATCCCACAAGGTCTCACAACTTTGATACAAAACCAAAGCTGAATGTGGAATCTTTTGCCACTGGTCTGTAGTGTTACCACTATGCAGCTTCTCTCTCAAGGACACAGCTCTTTCCACTTGGTAGAGTTCACCTGAAAGCTGAATGAAATGAATGAAATGAACAGCACTCCATATTCATTGTGGTTCTGGTCAAATATTAAGAAATAATTATGTCTGCATTAGAAGATTAAACACAATCTAAAATGTTAATTTGCCAATATTTCTTCCTCATGAAGGATATAATCTGATCCTTAGTTTTAGATATCTTATGATACATAGGCATTTCCAACTTCCATATATTATTAACCTTAATCTCTTAATATTCAGTTCACATGAAAATGGAAAAATGCAATGCTGTTCCTAATAAAATATATCAAGTATGCTGAGTTACTTTTTAATTTTTTTTTTTTTAGAAACATACAAAGGGTTATTTCAAAAAGCAGAGGCACATTCAAGGGAAAATGTGTGCCTACTCCAGAAGGAGAGACAACTATGCTCCTTTTATTTAGAAAAACATAATGTTACTCTATTTTGACTCAAGGGTGTTAGCAGTTTTAGTGTTAGCATTAATTTGTTTTCTTTTAATTATACAATTACTGCATTCATTTTCCTTAGTAAAATGGAAAAACATCCCAATTGCCAAATGCCGATGATATTTTCTTAGGGTTTTAATGTGTAGTCTCATTAGGTTTCTGTTTTCCAGCTGGTAAAAGTTTATGAAGCCAGAATTTGTTTCTCTTGGGGGAATTTTGCTTGCACATTTTAAAGATAACAATTGCCATTTTCCTCTGGTGATTTGCATCAATACTTGCCCTTCATTATCACAGCCAAAATAGTTTTTCACTTCGAAGTCTCACACAGTTTTGATACATTTCATCTGTTCTTCCAAAAACACGAATAGAATACCTGCTGCATATTTTTTTAAAAAATATTTTTGGTTCTTCATCTTTAGAAGTGTATGTTTAGAGAAAGTCTAGGAAGCAACATGAGATTTGTTTTAGACCTTTAGAAAACATTGACTTGAAATGGGTGTGGTGGCACATGCCTGTGATTCCAGCTACTAGGCAGGCAGGAGAATCACAAATTCAAAGCCAGGTTGGGTACCTTAGGAGGCTCTGCCTCAAAATAAAATTAAAAAAAAAAAAAGGGCTGGGGATGCAGCTCAGTAGCAGAGCGCTGTGGGTTCAAGCCACAGTACAAAATATATATATATCTTTTGATTTGAACTTTAACTCTAAGCATCCTTGTCTGGTTGCTTTAATAATTAAACAGATAAAAATAACTATTTATGGTTTTAATTATGGTATTTCTAAAAAGACATAAACTTAAGCTCCATCTGCCCTTTGGTAATATTGCTCTATCCACATGAAATTTTAAATGAAAATGTATGTCAGCAGAACACTGGGATTCTCTTGGATTCCTCTCTACTTGGGTTGGTGCATCCAGAGAAAAAAATGCAGTAAAGAAATAATTTTGATGATGCTATTTTTATTCAGATACATGCAGAAAATTGATAATAACTGAGATTTGATTTCATACCTCACATTGGCTTTCAAATAAATTTTCTTCTAATTTGGCTTCACAACTCTGATTGGTGGATATTACCCCCAGTTTAAAGAGAGGACATACAAATTCTGAGGAGTGAGTAGCAAGTCCAGTCCCTTTGTTAGTACAATTAAACTTGGGAGTTCTGCTCACAGCCTTGTTAGAAAAGCTCCTCTACATTTTCCAAGATTAGATGCCATGAAATAAAAGAAAAAAAAATGGAGTAAGCACTTCTAAAGTGATTTAAATTACAAGGTATTTAAACCTTTCTCTTTCACCTTGTAATTTAAATTATAAAACACTTAAGCCTTAGATTAGAACTTTCCATTTAAGGAAGTATTTTATTTTTTTATTTTCTTTTTTTTTCCTCTGAGTGTGAAAAAGAGAAATATCCCTGGAAAAGATAGACAAATGAAGACTGCTCTTAGAGAAAGTCTATGAAGCGATGTGAGATTTGTTTTATACCTTTAAAAGACATTGACTTGAAATGGTGTGGTGGCCATGCCTGTGATCCCAGACACTAGAGAGGCTGAGGCAGGAGGATCACAAATTCAAGGCCAGGTTAAGTACCTTAGGAAATCTTTTATTTTGTTCACAGCTGCAAACTTTTTTTGAGACATTCCTGAAGACAAGTTCACCACTTCAGGCATTTGATAATATGAAGGAAACAATCAGCAAACTTCTTCTGGCTGCTGAAGTCTTCAGTGAAACGTCTACTCTGGGACCAAAGACCTTCCATAGGTAAAAATGAATTTTAATTTAAAAAAGAGAAGAAAATATCTGTCTTCCAAAAATTGTTGGTATGATCTTCTACATACATATGGATCCTAAAACTTCAGAGCATGTTGTGCACTTGTTAGTAACCAAATATTGGTGACAAGAAATAAAACACAAAATCTTAAAATTAATTTTTAAATTGTAGCTTTCTTTCAAATTCAGCTATTTCTAGTATATAGACTTAGTATTTGTTGGTTGCAGTGTTACCCATACCTAATAAATGTTATTCTTGGCTATCTAAGTGTTTCAAAATGTAGAGAAGGAAACAAACATCTTTATTAATGTGTTTAGTAACTCCTAGCCTTGTATTTCAGTATGTTGAGTATAATTGATTGCCTTTGTTCTAAGGGCATACTAAATTGAGTACATATATAAAAAAGAGAGGTTCCTTAATTTATTACACTCATTATTATACTTTGTACTTGAATAGGCATCTCACATGTAGGAATAGGAGAGCTTTTTTCCCCTCCATATTAAAATTTTCATGGAATAACTTCATAGTTTAAAGTGTTATGAATATGTTAGATATACTTGCACTTTCTTTAAGAAACAAAACAAATTCCAAATCCAAGAATCAATTATATGTAATTTTTGGTTACAGATATTGACATTTAACTATGTAGTCATCAACTGTATGATACCAAGTAGTAGAGTCAGTGAACAAAGAGAATATATTTTCATGCTGTCTTATGTTTTTATTTCAGATGTAGATTATGCTTTCAACTTTTAACTTTTGATATTGGTTATGACAGTCTCAGGTACCCTATAGTGCTTCAGGTGAGTTGCCAAAGGCCCAGTGGTGTGAGCTTCCAACTCCTGGTGAAGGGTGTGTGCGTGTGTGTGTGTGTGTGTGAGAGAGAGAGAGAGAGAGAGAGAGAGAGAGAGAGATTTTCATTTACAATCACAAACTGATAAACAGTAACCTGAATTAAAGCCATTATAGGCTCATATGCATTGTGGTTTTGAAATCAATTAGTATGTCAGGATTCTATGAGTTCCAATCCCCACTGTGTGTTCCTGTTCATGTAGAACAAACATGAATTTTTCCATGGTTCAGCCACTGTTTATGAAAAAAATGTGAAATAAACCTAAGTATTTGTTAAATGAGAGAAGCAAGATGTATAATGAAAAATAGTAGACTGCATGGTGCATTCACATAGTGCTATTAAAAGGGTAACTCTTATTCTTTGTGTTGGAACATTTAGTTTTAAATTGGTCTGTTTTAATTTAAAAATCCATGGGGATTTTTGAGATTTTTTCCCTAGTATAAATACATAGAAATTAGAGTGCTTTTGTGTACTTTTTTTCTTCTAAAATTGCCCTCAGGGGCAAGAAGGTAAAAACCAATTTGGTTCAACTAGTCTACAGGAAGCTCTTTCTTGAGTTCTGGTGTGGGAAGAAGGGAAGATAAATAAAATAGCATGAATAACCAAAATTCAAATTCATATAGCATTATTTGTTTTCAAACTGTAATTCAGGAAAAGCAATTATAGACATTTGGTTGAATAACTTTAAGATTTACCTATAAAATTTTGAAACTTTGGCCAGGTGCAATGGCACATGTCTATAATCTCAATGCCTTGGGAGGCTGAGGCATTTGAGGCTAGTCTCAGCAACTTAGTGAAGCCCTAAGAAACTTTGTGAGAACCTGTCTCCAAAAAAAAAAAAAGAAAAAAAAAAAAAAGCCTGAGCCTGTAGCTCAGAGGTAAAATGCAAAAAAAGTTTCTTTTTCCTTTTGAAGTTTATGAAATGACATCTTATAATGACCAATTTAGCTTTACTTTGTACACATATCTAATAGTTGATATTAGGCTTTTAAAAATGTGTACTTCAGAAAAGTGTTCTGTATTATCTTTGGTGAACAAAGATTCTTCAATTATAGATGGCTTTAAGATAAGCTAATGTTAGCTTATCTTAAGTTACATGACTTAATCACAGTTAAATTTCTTACCTTAAAGAATTGAATCTTTAAGAAAACATATTTATAAAACTGTTGACCTCCAAAAAGACCACTAGATGTCAGGTCTGATCTACAAACAACAGGAAATAAATCATGTCTTAGAAGTAATTCCACTGAATTAATTCATGGAAACTATTCACTGTGCTTTGACTCTTTCAAAGGTGCACGAGCATTTGAATTTTCAAGATGATGATAACATGGATTTTGAGGACCAAAATACAGAAGAATTCTTGTTAAAAGACTCTTTCAATTTTCTCTTCTCCAATGACTCTTCGCTTTCCTTATTTTCAGAGATATTTCAGAGACTTTATAGATCTGGTGTATTTAAGGTGAGTGCCAATTTGTGTGCTGATGAATGTTTTTTCAGGTCTTCTTTAGAAGGTGACATTTTCTTTATTATGTAATTAAACAATCTGAGAATTTGTTTGAAATTAATTGACATCTATGTTGCACCTCTCATTTTTTTTTCTGACCTGAGGAGCAATATTTTTAAATCAACTAAGTGTGTGCATAAATGATTGTGATAAAATTGTGGGTTGAAAATGAAATAAAGCAGTTCATAATTCAGAAGGAATGTTTGTGTATATTATGACTAAAGCATATTGTATATTACAGAATACTTTTAAAAGAGTGTTGGAACTTTTTGAAGGCAGTCTAGATAGCAGAAAGTGCTTCAGATGGACATCAGAGATTTAAGTTATAACTTTAATACTTTAAAGCATTCACATTTGTTAATGTGTATAGCCAGATGCTGATGATACTTCAGAGTAGCATTGGTGAAGTTTTATGGTTAGCACAAATTTGCTTGATACATAAAATATTATACAGATTCCTGAGTATTATTCCCTATATATATATTTTTTTTAAATTTTATAACCTATATTTTAGAGTATTTGGAGGAAGGTTATGAAAGGTCTCATAAAGATCAATGTTCTATTTCTCCTGCTCTTGAAAAAGTGGAAGTGGGAAAACCTAAAGTATGTGAAACCTCAAATGCCAATGTCCCATATATAGGTTCATTAGTAAATATTCATTAAATGCTCTGAAGGCTACAGGAGACTCCTGCTGCTTTCTCAAACCAATTTGTCACACCCATTCTCTCCCTTGTTCACCTCCTCAACCTTACTACCAAAGCATCATGAAGCTTTTTCATCCAGGTTGTCTTTGTCAAATAGGAGGTCTACTTATATTGTGACGAATTAAAGTTACTTTGCACTATGTAACATTAATTTTCTTATCTGTTTATAGAGTTTAAAATTTGGCTTATGAAGTAGGAGGCAATTGGGATAAAAATGATTTAAACTTTAGCTATTGCTTATGATTTTTCCCCTCCTATTATTATAGGGCGAAAATGAAAACTATCAAAAGGACCTAAATCAATGTCTGGCTTTAGAAGAAATTGACTCAATTATGACTTTCATAAAGGAACTTGGGAGTCTGGGGCAGTTTCAACTGGTAAAACAAAAGTGATGTTTGACACCTCTTGATTATTAAGATTATAAAAGATTGGCGTTAAATTACCTGCTTTTGACTTCAAACTAAAGATTCCTTCTTTCTTTCAGAAATCTAAATAGTAGATGAGCAAGATTTATGTTTTACTTTAAGAGTCTGTACAAAACCCATGACTTATCAAAGATAAGAAAAATATATGGGATTAGTATGGCTTCCAGGATTTGACAGTTTTTAAGGGGAAAATGTTAACATTTTTCTAAAGAAGTTTTGCTTTTAGCCTTGGGACATTTACACACAACCTAAGTTTATTTCTGCTTTTTATATTTTTTTAATTTGTATAAAATCAATATAATTGAACAAAATAAAAACATTTTAGAAAACTACCTAAATCTTAATTTGTTTTAACTATGTAACAAATGTCAGAGAAAGAAAATGTAAATAAGTTTTACTGGTTTCAGCCTATAAAAGGAGTATTTGTATGTATTTTCTTGGACTTTGTTAATTTATTAATCAGTATCTAAGGATGATTTATTATATATAATGAGTATGCTCAGTGAAAGCTTTGTTTTTACTTCTGCCCTTATACAAATAGACAATAATGATTTGCATTTTTCCATCTAAGATTTGTTCATGTAAAACATCCTTTTAAAACAATATTTTAAAAGTCCATTAATAATTCATCATTAATCTGACATATGGCTTGAGCCTTTTTCTTTTTTTTTTAATTTATGTATACATATCTGTTGTATGAGCTGTACCCATTTATTGAGTTAATTAATGAATGTTTGACATTTGCTTTTATAATTTAGCCCATATTTTGGAGGCTTCAAAATAAGCTTATTTCCTCAAAGATAATTTAGTTTATATATTTCTCATTTTGATTAATTTAAATATAGTGCTACATATATGGTAATTTAGTTCAATACTATAGTTAAGATGCTGTGACTATAGAATATCTCTTGGCATAATGCAAAAAAAAAAAAAAAAAAAAAAAAGAACTAAAGAGTTATTTTGCAGAAACCAGATAACCAGAGGTTATTTTCATTTAATTTTTTAGTGAGAGGAATACTTCTTGCCCTGATGTAATTCACTTATAACAAAGATGATTTGTCCTTATTTTTCCCGATGGCTGATTCCTTCTGTTATTTAGCTGCAGCAAGATATGTTAGTTAACATTAACAAGAAGGAGAAATCCATTTCTCCTCGATGGAAGGCAGAGAAGAACCCATCCCATTTGGAAATGTGATTATTGACAAAATTAGTTCCTTATACAAAGAGGCATCTACCTTAACAACTGCCCAGAAAAATTAAATTACAGTACTGATCAATCAACAAATTTATTTTAAAAAATATCTAACTGGATATAAAACCTTTCCTAGTAATATTACATTTTAAGTTATTTTCCATAACTTATGCGGATACTTTGTGTTTTAATATTTCTTCTCAGCTCTTTCCATCTACCACTCCTGGGATTCGATCTTTGATGCATGAATTTTATGATACAACAAATCCTTTGGGAAAACCTGGCTCAGTCCTGACCCAGTATTGGTCTCTTTTAAATGTATTTGAACAATTTTGGCTCCTGAATAAAAAAGCCCAGCTACATCCACTGGAATGGTAAGGTAGCCACAAATTTGAACTATGCAATCCAAAAAAATCTCCAGTCTAAAGATTGATTTCAAAAGGCTTTGCTAACATTAAAGAAAGCAACAAAAAGAAATGTGTCCAAAAAAATTCATGCTCTGGAAAATAAATGTCTTTAAAACATTGAAACCATAATGATTCTGGTGGTCTTTAAACACTGTAACAAAAATATATCTAACCGTTTTTAAACCAACAAGACTTGACTCCTCCATAAAATAATGCTCAAATTAAAAGTTTCAATATAGTTTCATTCCATGGTACATATCTTTGCATTACTGGCAGCAAGAGAGAGGAAAGAATTAGGTGAGATTTGTTTGCAGCAAGAGAGGAAAGAATTAGGTGAGATTTGTTTCATAACCATCTGACTGCAACCTGATACAGTAATAGTATTTATTTAGAGGGTCTTAGAAGCATGACTGTATTCTGGGCAAATCTAAATTTAGGTACACTTAGTCTTTTTATTTGCTTTGTTTTGGTAAGGTACCTTCCTGTCCTGATGGGAGGCAGTAATGAAGGAGATATGTAGGCGATGCGTTAGTTAATGGTACAGGTGATGCATTGGTGCCTTCAGAAGTTGGCAAAGGGGCGGTACCTAAGATTTTGTCTACTTTTCTTTTATATGGATAGAATCGAGAAAATCTGACTTTTCTACTGCCAGGCAAACAGAATTAAACCTAAACCTCCTAGGAAGATGAAAGAGTAATCCACATGGCATACTCATTTGCATCTCTTGTAGTCACCCTGGGGATGGCAGCAGTTTTATTGACTTACACTTTATTTCCTTCTGCCTCCGGAGGTATTGAAAATAATTCTAGAAGAAACCCTTTTTGTAATTAAAAAATACAAATAATCATGTATTTGAAGACTTCTTATAACATCTCCCAAGATCAGAACCCATCCTACTTGTCAAACTTTATGAACTTGGCCTTATTCCCTTAATACATGGAAGTAGTAGGCCTGACAGAAGGTTTTGTTTGTGTACTTGAAAATTAAGTTTTAAATAATATAGCTCAAAGCCACTTTGCTTTCACTTTGCACTTGCTCGAATAATGCAAGACTGTCTCATGCCCTATTATAGATAAGTGAAGAACAGGCTGGATTTCCCAAGGAGCCTATTAACAGATTGTTTTTAACATTGAGTAAGTTCCCCTGATATATACACAAGCTTTTGAAAGTTTGTTCTCTAGCAAGTTTTCTCAAGCTGCACATATGCTGTAAGGTTAAATATTTCACTACTCTTACATTCAGATGATTGTATTCCCTTCCAGTAAGGAAACATACTGATAATGGTCAGTGTTGAGGATAATTTGAAGAGAGCAGGACTTTTTTCAATTGCACATACATGGATTAGCAGGCAAGGTTCAGAACCTTCTGACTCCATTTCCTCATCTTTAAAATATAGATTATATTATCTGCCATGTATTAGTTCAGTAAGATCACATAAAATAGCTTCCGTGTGCCTGATGCTGTGGCACAGGTATGCAGTAAATTTAAGTATGCTTTTATTTTCATGCTTTTATACCATAGGATGGTCACTTTAGCTTCTATAGTGGGGATAACTCTTTTCTGTTTTTAACAGGAAAACAAAAAGACATTTGAAAGAATTACCTAGATTAATATTAAAACAAGTAAATTTTAGATTCTTACCAAAAAAAAAAACAATTAATATATTGCTCCTAGTAAATTTTTTAAAAACTCAGTTTTAATTATCTTCAATTTATCAGTGAGCATATGCATATTTAATGATCATACATGCAAGAAGGATGCATATTGTATACATTTTCCACATGAGGAAACTGAGGTCCTAAGATGATGGATTATTTGCTCACATTGGATAGCTACTGTAAATAGAATTGGGACTATGACCCTGGCCATCTCATCCATGGTCCAGTACATTTTTCCAGTGCATTATGCAGACAGAATGGTCATCATTGCTTCTGCCTTGAAAATGGTCACCTCCAAGATTTTCTATAGAAAAAGTCAATAAATCATAGACTACCTATGGAGTCTAATGACCATTCTATTTTCTAAATCAAGACCATTTGCTTGTAGTAACTAGGTGAGGAAAAATAAAGTCAGAACATAGCAGTAGTAGATAATAGCTATTGCAATGTGCCCCAAGGCTCAGAATCCAGAAGTCCCAATTGAATTAGTATAATTCTGAATAGAATGGAAATCTTAAAACTCATATTTGTGCACCATCTGCTAATTTTCACTTTGCTAGAAATACAGTTATATTTGTATTTTGCTCTAAGGAAATGCTTTCCAAGAAAATCCATGTGGATTCAAAACAAATAATTTATTCATAAAATTACCCAAGAAATCACTACAAGATGCCTTTCTATACAGAATGGTCATCATTTCTATACAAAGTACCTCATTCCATTAAGATAGTAACATTTCCAAAATTCAGTTTATGTGCATTTCATGTTGTATCTTTTGCAAGATATATTGCTGGAATTAAGATTGCAATACAATTATCACACCTTCTGACATTAGTGAAATATTGAATTCCTTGACTATTCTTAATTCTCATTCTGATGGTTATATCTTAAAGGAATTTAATATACACTGTTCATCTCTGCTCTGCTGCAATGCCCAGCACAAGATCTGAGACAATAAATATGTATAAAACATATATAACATAGAGCATTTTATTTAATTCGCATAGCATCCTTGTTAAGTAAGGAAAGTCACGTCAGGGGCCTCCAAACCATCTTCTGTATCATCAGGACCAGCAGTTATCTTGTCTGAAATTTAGATTATTTTGATCCCAAATATAAGAATTTAAAGGACATTCTGGCCAAGTAGGTAGTTATACAACAGAGAAAAAGAAGTGCATTCAGCACATTATTATCTGACCTTTTTCTGTTCCTGACCAATTATCAGAGTTCAAGGGACAGAAGACTTAGTGACATAAGTCCTTACTGCATGCTACAATTAGTTTTCTCATATTCTGGGTATGTTTTTCCCAGGTTATGTCTCAGAGTTTCCAAGCCTTTTTTGCTTCAAAAACTGTGTAACTTTAGCCAGAGATTCCAATAACAATGTGCGTTTTTGAATCACTTCTGTTGGACCCAGGCTATCTGAGATTGCTCAGTGTTGGACTGAAGAGTGACTTTTTGCCCTGGTTTGCTTCAAATGTGCTTCTACTGATTAGAGATGATGAGATTTCCACCCATCTCCCTGGCGGCTCACTTGCCAGTCTGGAGGAATAAAATCCAGAAAGTGTTTCTTTGTCTTCATCAAAATAACTGTGCCCACATGGAAGAAAAGATAGTGTACTTGATGTAATTTCCATGAATTGTGTTTGCGTCATTGATCCAGGGTTGTTTGACATTGTATTTGCAGGACTTCTTTCATAGAAGACGAGAACATTGAAAACCCTCCAGTGTCATTTGATACACATGAAATCAAAAAAGGTAAAACCATATAGTCCCACTTATTTTAACATAAAATAAGAATTGCCTGACCAAGATTTGTGTGTGTGTGTGTGTGTGGTTAACTGCATTAGCCATCAAAATTGAATATTAGACAAGGAGCTGTTGTTTTTCCTCAAAATTAGAGTTTTCTTCCTATAGATTAGAGAGTTGGGAAAAGTACACAGAAAAAAGTATTATGATGCTGGTGGATGCATAAATTAGAACAACATATATTAAGGGGTCATTTAGCAACACATAAGAAAAACTTTAAAGATGATTCTTACAGACCAGGAATTCCACTGCTGGATATTCATTTTAAGGAAATAATTAAGAACATATAAAATTTAATTAAATAAATCAGGAATAAAAAGCATTTAGAAGCACTATTGCCATGACAGTAGATTAAATGTATAAATGAAGCTAGAGTCATCCAGCGAAATTCTACAGAGCCATTTCAATATCATGGAAAAATATCTATGACATGAAATATGTTTAGGATATACAAATAAATGTAGCAGTTGGCTACTAGCAATAGAAACCCTAAGGAAAATTAATGGTGATTTTGATTTTATGTCTTATGCTTATCTGTTTTCGCATTTTTTCCTTCTAAATTATACCTGAGATTTTTTTCATAAGAAAATATTTCTAATTTTAAAAAGAAAAAAGGAAAGCAACCACCCATGTGTCTACAAATTTTTTTGAAAATCTAGGTTTTTCTATTATAAACTAGGATTTAATCAAATACGTGATTCTCATTGGTGCCCCAGCCTCTAGACCAGCAGCATCAACATTGATAGGAACTTAGAGATTCAAAGCTCCTGATTCATGATCTCTTGATGAAGCTTAGTAATTTGCATTTTAACAAGCCTCTCAGATAAGTCCAGAGCATACAAGAGTTTGAGAACCACTGATTGAACAAAACGAATCAGTTGGCTTAGTGCAGAATTAATCATAAAGGGGTATTATGACTCCTTTTCTCTCTCCTACCATTTTTCTCTTTAAATGGATAGCTTAAGCACTCTGTATGTTCTTATTCATTTATTTATTCATTAATATTTATGAAGGAGTTTTTTAAAGATAGATGTTTGGCTAAATTCAGAAACTTAAACAAATTGCAGTGTAACCAACTGAATAGAATTTCTGAATTCTAATGATTTAAGAAATTATAGTCACTGAATCATAAAACTAGGAGGATCTTCAATAGATAACCTCAGGCAAAGGATGACATTAAGACCATTCATTTTCACCTTTAATACTATCTTATTTGAAAGTGAATAAAAAAAGCTTTCCTTTTTAAATCAAACAGCTTTTGTTTTATTGTAATTATTGGTTTTACTTAGAAATGCTCACTGGTATTATAAAAGCTAATAAAATGTATTTTATTAAATTATTCTTTGAGTTAATTAAACATGTGTTTTAAATTTTAATTAATAGTTTTAACTTAAAATTTACATCTCTTTTTTAGCTGCAGCTCCACAAATTATGAACAAAAATAAAGATATACATTGCAGTAATGGTGAGTTGATATCAAAGTGTTTTGGCAGCATAATCAATGGTTAGGCACAGTTGCTTTGGAAAAAAGAAGTCAGTTTTACATATTCATGTATCTTTAGGCTGCTAGTTTGATTAAAATTTGAGAAGTTATTGTCTTTTTGATTGAGTCAATATCCATCCATTTTGCATGACCAGAGTGAAAGGATTATAGCATAAACTGTTATGTTTATTTCAGGATAATAACTTCTAAACTCATTTGGAGGGACCCAAGGGGTTCTAAATCTTTATTTTGGAGGTCTCTCAAGTGGAAGAGTTTGCTATGATGCATTGTACTTGAGTAGAATTTTCTTTAAATAGTTAAGCATTTTTAAGCCAATTTTCAATTAATTTTATTAAAATTCATGAATTGTTTTTAACAAAGCCACAATAAAAGAAAATATAAGTGTTAAGTTTATATAAACTTTAAATTTAAAAATAGTCCCTTTCACTCTGGCCAGTATTATTATAATGGTCTTGAAAATATATCTTTCTAAAGAGCCTGGCTTTTTTAAGGTCAAGATTAGAAAATGCCTTAGTTAGATCATGAAATTGGGCCTTCAGATGCTTTGTTCTAATCTCCTGAAATTTTTTAAATTCTGTATAATACATCATGCAAAAATAAGAGTTCTACATAGTATGTTTTTGAAAATGTGTAATTTTAAAAATATATCTGTGTCTATATCTTTCTATATGTGGTGCTAAAACATGCTTAGAAAACTTTTCACAAAAAATGCTTTTACAAATAAAATATCAATTCCAATAAAACATTGAAGTTGAAAAAAATAGAATGTATAGACATAGGTTTAATTTATCATAAATAGAAGTCTAATTTTAAAAAACCTAATTTGTTATCTTATAATGCTTCAATCATAATGCTTTAACACTACCACTAAAATCGTGGTAGATGAAGAAGCAATGTAATAATAGGTTTTAATAGAATCAACATGCTTCCAACTAAATTAAAAAAAGTATTTGAAAGCAAGCATTGCTAACAGGAAACGAGAATTGATATTACTTATGATATTCCCTCCCTGTACTCACTGCCTGAACTCCCACCCCAGAAAATACATTTTATTTTCTCTCCTGGTACACTATTGTCTGGACTGTGGTGGGGAAGAGACTATTGAAAAAACTGGGAGCAGAATTAGCATAAGCATTTGTTGAGTATCTACTCTGAGCCAGGTAGAGACTGGGTGCAGCACTAGGAAGGCCACTTCACCTGTTTGGGCATCTAGATTCTCCATTCACCTGTTTGGGCATCTACATTCTTGTTTGTGCAATAGAAGGTTTGTACCAATAAGGTCATCATTTTCAGCTCACAGGTAACATGGTAAAGAAAAGGGGAACGAACCTGTTAGAAAAACTCTTCGACTCTGTTCATGTTTTTATGTTGATAAAAACTAGTCCTACTTGTATCTTCAAATAAGCTTTTATGATATAGGATATGTTTTAAAATCTTGATGATGCCTCAGAACAGGTGGGCTTATCTTTAAGAGTCTAGGCTGTTCTTATGTTTAGTATGAATTATGGTTTTCCCTCAAGAGAGCAATAAATTTCTATGGTTCAAAGAAATCCATTAAAAGCAATCAAAACTTCCAACAGCTTTCCCATGTACACTTGCCAAATAGGTTAAGTGGCTTGCTACCATCATACCTCACATTGAGCTCTCCAAAGTTCTTAGGTAAATTGGCCTGAGACAAATTGGGATTGGGTAGGGAAAGAGTACAAGGAAACACCAGGTGTTTGTAGGCCGAAACTCTGATGATTCAGTTTGGATGTCATAGCTAAAACAACTTTCAGACAGGGGTCTGGGATATAGTGCTTGAGACAGAGGTGAAAAGTTTCTAAAGGGATCAAAAATAAGGACTTGCTAAAATCTTGAGAAGAAAATAATTACATATTTCTGTCATCTCAAGTAGGGCTGAGGTTCATTTTATTACATGTGCAAGCCCCACTGAAAACCATGACTGTTAAGTGGAATATAAAAAGAAATGTAAGAAGTATAAACCAAAAGGAAACTGTCTCTCAGGGAACCATTACAAAAATATACCCTAAATTTAAGTACATTTCTATGCTTCATTATGAGAAAAAAGATCTGTTCCTTTCTTATTCATTTAGCTGGTTCTGAGCATGAAAGCATAGTGTAATTATTTATATTCCCTTTATGACTAGGCAATGGACCTCTCCACAGCACAGTACATATTCTCAGTCCAGTTTGCTTAGTACTATGATGAGTTAACATCATCCATTTGAATTAAATTTCTTGATTAATAGTATCCTGTTTTTACTGTGCTTATCTCAGTGCCTTTAACATAGAATACACTGGAGATAAAAATATTGATAGAAAATGAATGTTATTAATAAATAGCTGAATTTAAGTTAAAAGCTATGATCTATTTCAGTATGAGCTCTGATAATATAATCTCTGCTCTCAGTGTTGTATTTTTCCTCTTTTATTAGAAGAAAATTTCAGGAGCTGGTATGATTATTAAAATTATAGATTCAGTCTTCTTTCATGTATCAGCCAGATAAAACCTTAGGATTGTTATTTAAGTAGTTGACCCAATTCACTGAGCTATTCAATAGGGTTGGCTAGTTATTTTTTTAATTTAGACTTTTCTATATAAAATGGAATTATAATATATTTACTATATTATTTATTATTATTATCATTATTCTTAATTTATACTTGACTAGTTTTTTTTTTTTCTACCACAGGCTGAGAATGTAGGTGGATGGGCCCGTAGAGGATGGTTTAGAAATACATAGGTTTGTTCATTTTGTTTTCATGCATGATGGCATCTATTCTGAGACCAGGTCATTAGATCTAGAATAAAGCACCCACGTGGTTGGTGGGTTTCATCCTCATGCATCACCATGTTCGTCAAGGAAACATAAAAACTTTGATCTTGAATACAAGATCCAGGACACAATGGGAGAGGCAAATGGAGAGCAGGACAAGGGTTTGTGAAATGCTTTGTTTGCCTTCTTAAGAGCTTGAATTTGACTATGGAAATGATGAGAAGCCACTGCAAATGGCAGGCAGACTATCAGATTTGACTTTAAAAACCATCATTGTGATAATTGTATAAAAGCAGAGGAAGGGACAACCATAAACAGAATCATCTCCATTCTCTAAGTCCAGTTTTATAGTTTCCTGCCTTGAATTGTTGTCTTTTGTGTTGCTGTTGTTAAACATGGATCAACATTTTATAGGAAGGCCACGAGGGCAAACTCTCATCTTACTAATTTCTGTAGAATTTTTCTGGAATGTTGTTGACTCTTGAAAATAATTGATGGATGGAACACAGTACTTGTTGACATTTCTTTGAAAAACATTTTACTAACCCATTGGGTGATTTGTCCATTTTAAACATGAAAACTGAATATAATTTAATCGTGGCTGGTGCATGTTCTTCTATAGCTTTTTTTTTTTTAAAAACTTTGGATGCTACTGTGAAAATCAGCTGATGAAGACAAAGATTAAAGTCTTGGAATCATCAGTATGAAGTCATATCTAGATTCTAAGGCAGGACTGAGCAGAATATAGGATCTCTTTTTGACATTTCATGGCCCTTTCCCATGTTGAGGTGCCCTGGGAAGAAAGGGGATGCAGGACATTTGTGTGGATATTTTCATGAGGGTTTTGTTTAATACTGGAGTGCACATTCTTCACTCCACCCTACTCCCTATAAGCTACTCTGTCAACCTCATAGCAGTTTGATGACATTTTCCATTAAGAAATATACCTTATTGCCTGCTGGTTTCCTTCTGTCACCACCCCACAAAGCCATTGTCCCCATTTACATTGTTGTTGATAGGCCATAGACATTTCCCCCAACTTCTGTGCCTTTAAACTTTAAAGAGCTGAGCAAAAAGTGCCACCTGTACAGCACCAACTAAAGGCAAAGCTTTATATGTAAATTCTGTGAAATTTGAAAACCAGGAAATGTAGCTGAAGCCACAAATCAATTATAACCAGGGTGCCAAATGGACAGTCAGTTGTGATCACCGAAATTGTTCAAAGGAATTAGAAGAAAAAAAAAAAAAAAAAAAAAAAAAACATTAAAAATACACGATTTAAAATATTCTATCCATTTCACAGATTTATTTTTTTGTTGTTCTTGTTTTAACAGATAAAGAAACACTATGTCATATCAAGGAGATCTTCACACATCCACAGTTGGAACTAAATCCTGACTTTAACCCAAGGATCAAAGATTATTATTCCGAAGTCCCATTTGATGTGGTAACGGTGACAATTGGGGCAGTGACGTCTAAGTGTCAGTGCACAGTGCACCTGTATGAGCGGGCAGGGCCGAGGTATGGGGATACTCACTGGGCTGGGTTGGGACAGCTCTCTGAAAAAACGGACATTCAATGTACCCTTTAAAAGTGGTTAAGGAAAGCGAAGCCACTGATCATTTGGAGAGATTTCCAGGGTGTGAAATCTTTCCCCTTTTCAGGCATTATGTGCTCACAGAGAACACAGAAGTGCTACTCATCTATTAACATTCTTTGTAAATAATATTCGTGACAATGTTATAACAAGGAAGAATCTTGTTGTAGGAAACCAATGAGGAATCATTAAGGAAAATTCTATTTGTTGTCTTGATGCTTTCGAGTTGTTGGAGAGAATCCTACTGAACAGCAACGTCTTTCTACCCCAAGCCAACACTTCAAGTTATTAGATAACTGGGGTTCATTGCTTAAACATGTTAGTGACGATTTGTGAACATAGTACCCACTAACCTGGTCTCACAGGGATATTTTTTCTATCCATGCTTTTGAAAGTCACCAACACTTTTGTCTATAATTTTGAACAGAAAACAGACTCTTATTACATGCTGTGTAGCAAGGAAAACACTCATAGTTCCAGGCTGTTGGGAAAGAAAAGTTCTTAGCATTCCTGGTAGTCAAGAGAGTCTAATAGAAGGAACAGAGGGCCAAGCATGGTGGTGAATGCCTATAATCCCAGAGACTCCTGAGGCTGAGATGGGAGGATTGCAAGTTCAAGGCCAGCCTCAGCAATTTGGTGAGACACTGAGCAATTTAGCAAAACCCTGTCGCAAAACAAAAAATAAAAAGAACTGGGGATGCGGCTCAGTGGTTGAGTCCCTCTGGGTTCAATCCCTGGTACCAAAAAAAAAAAAAAAAAAGACCCATCTAGGTCACACCCCTGGCTCTATCATATAATTTTGGACAATGTGCTTACCATTTGTATGTAATGGTCTTATATTCTAAATAGGGATCATCACAGTTTCTATATACAGTTATTGTGAGTACTAAATGAGATAATGTATTAATGTATAAATGAGATAATTAATAGCATCCGTTTCCTTCCCTTTAGTTAATGGAAGGCATGACTTGCTCTGCAAGGTGGAACAGAAGAGTATGATAAAACAAATCTTATTTTTTTTTCATATATGAGGTTTCTTATAAGATTGTATAGGCCTTGCCTGGTTTTAATGCACATAGTAGGCATTTAATAAATATTGATGTCTGAATCCGTTTGGCTTGAATAAATGTCCCCTATTCATATCTATTCATATCTATTCTGTCTGTCTCTACCCTTTATCTGCAGCTTTGCCAACTACCCTCTTGGCTTAGGAATGAACAAAATCTCCATGCTTGTGGTGGATGAGTCTCCAGCAGAGGGTGAGACTCTGGTCACATACAAACTCACCGTCTATAGAGAAGACCGCCCAAGCCTGCCCTTCTTTGAGGACTTCACAGCGTGTGGTTTTGTGCAGGTAAATAAGTTTTACATTTGCACAGGAGTTGAATTGGGAATAATTTTTTTAACCCAGGTGAAAAATGCCAAACGAAAACTGTTACAAGATATCATATACTCTTAAACGTAAACTGTGGTCTCTGTAAAAGAGTACAAGTCCCAGGCAGGTAGCTGAGACACCTCATTATGAGCAGTTTTCTTTTTAGTGTGGCGACTATTCTCTGCCCTCATTGTCCTCAGTGGGTTTATCATGGTTTCTGTTTTTTAAAAAAAGTTCTGAATACTGGCGCTTAGCTGTGAAATTGGTTTCATGTTTCCTCATTAAATCGTGCTGTTTTTCTTGGATTTGTCCCTGGATCGACTTTTGAAAATTTAAACTAGATTCAGTGGAATTTATTTTAAAGAATGAGAGGAAAACTTATGGGAACTTTTTTTTTTTTAACAGAAAGGATACTGAATAAATGAAATTAGATTTTCTTGGGAGAGATATATTTCTCATATCTTAATAATTTCTCAAGGTTGGAGTTTCTCCTTTGAGCAACACAAAATATTATGTAGCCTTGTTAATTATGGAAGAAGATGACAGCTACTCTGAGATATGTTTCTGTTTGGTGGCTTTGTTCTCTGCTTTTTTTTTTTTTTTAACAATTTCTACCATTATGTCTTCTCTACCGTATGTCTTCTATACAGTCGATTCCAGGGAAGTAGTAATTGGTACTTTCATCATGTATCTACTAATCTACTCAAAAAGCATAACTGCAAATACTATTGTATTGTCAAAAGGGTGTGAGTGCCACTAGGAACTTGAAGTACAGAGGATTAGTTAAAGAGAAATAGGTCCAACCAGGCCTCTGTGGCTGGTACAGATTCCACGATCATTTGCATTTTTATTTAGTGGCTAGATATGAATATCCTGCTCCTGACCCGTCAGCATCATCAACTATTCCCCAAAGCTAACACTGTCTCAGAAGGGAACTTATCCTTGAGACACATTTTTCAAGGAAACAAATATCTCTAATTAGTAAATTATCACTAAATTGAAGGGAATTTCACATTGATCTAGAGAATGGTCTAAAGAAAGACAAAAATCTTATTTTGAAAGCTATAAATAGGTATACTTGGGGGAAAAAAAGGAGTAGGTATCCCATGATCAATAGGTTCATATAGTAATGGATTAAACAAAGTTAATTATTTTCTTTGACTATAGAACTTTTCTGAACTGTTAATATGCTAATTTAAGCAGTGGTCCTTCAACAGGAGAATATGTATATACTTCATTTCCACATTGATTTGATATCATCTTAATGGGATAGATACCAATGCTTGTTTTTTTTTTTTTGAGGAAACATTGGGTTAAAGTTTGGAGAAAAAAATCAAAATTTGTTGCCCCTAGTTTTCCACTTTCCAATCTGCTTTTTTTTTTAATCTCACTATTTTCTGAATTGGAAAACAAGTAATAAAGCCACACCAAAAATGCTAAAAAATTAACAAACACCTAGGCAAGGGACATTTTGTGTATGCATATGTTTGTATGTACATAATTTTATTTCCATACTAAATATTCTTCCCTTTTTTGGTAGAGCAGTTTTTCTTTTCTACACTATTGATGAGAATATAAGTTATTTGATGACTGGAAAAATTGGGTTGTATCTACTAGAGCTAACCCTATACATCTCTCATAGAGTTATAGGGTTTATAATCTAGCTCTCAACCCAAGATAAATAAAGTTGCATGGCCATCAAAATATATATGCCCCCAAATCTTCATATCAGTTTTATTCATGACAGCTAAAAGCTATAAACAATTCCAAAGAAAGGAGATAAATCTGGTAAGACATTACTGACACATACACCATGGAAGAATTTTCAAAATCTTATATTGATGAAAAGAAGCCAGCTATATGAAGACATACCATATTTCAGTTATAGGAAGCTTAAGAATAGGAAAAAACTTATCTATAATGATGAAAATCAGAATAGTGGTTATCTAGAAGGTATGTGTAGCTCTTAGTATGAGGGAAGTTTTTGGATAAATGTCTGACATCTTGATTTGGGTGGTGGTGACTTATATAACCAGGTTTTTTTACACACACACATGCACATATATGTATATCATTACATATCATGTATATATATAAATTGTACACTTAAGATTTGTTCATTTTACTGTATACAAATTATGCAAATATAAAATATATGCATATATATTAGATAGATTTGCATATATAAACTTTACCTCAATAAAATAATAAAAATCCAGTGGGAAATATGTACTTTTATATTCCCTCCTCAAATATTATATTGATTAGAAACAAGTTAATTACTATACAATTATCTTAGAGAATAGATTATATTAGGAATTTTTTACTATAATGTGGAGAAATATATTAGAAAATTCTTGTGGGATGAATCCTACAGAAGATCATAGAAAAGTATTTTAGTCATTTCTTATAATCCCTTCCATAAGGTCTTAATTTAAAGTTTATATGTGGTTCTATAATAAGTACTATATTTTATAACAGGCAAAAGTGTGTAATAAGCACTAGTATCGTTTAGCCTTTCTTTTAGAACCTTCCAATGGGTGAGCCAAAAAATGAGATAGGAATAATACAGATTTCTTTAGACACTTAACCAAGCTTAACCGGCCTCATGAATTTGGAGATATCAATAGCAGAAGAAAAAGTTTCTCACCAGAGGCTCTTGGCTAACCTTCTAGACTGGAGGCCTTCCCTTTATTTCTTTCATGTTTAATCCTTTTAGGGTCTTTAGGTTCCACTGCAAGCTGATAGCATGACAAAGATTCCAATACAAAGAAATAAAATTTCTACTCTTTTTAGATATTTGAGAATTAATAGCAAAGAAGATATACATTATGAGACCTAAAAAAATTTATTTTTTCAAACCTTCCTGTTTTTTTCTGTCAACAGCCATAGTGCCTTCACCGTATTATTAAAGCTGAAGTCCAAGGTTGAGTAGTGCAAATTAAATTGTAGGCCATTCTATTTGAATAACTCAAATCTATACATGCAAACTTAAAAGGAGATAAATTCAATTTTAATCATATTTATTGGGGAAGGGGAAATTAGAATTTCTCCTGACATTTAAAATTAGATTTTGGTCTAATGACTCCACTATTAAAATTTAAATAAACATTATCTTAGTTCATTTGTGCTGCTATAACCAAGTGCCTGAGATTGGTTAATTTATAAAAAATAGAAATTTATTTCTCATAGTTCTAGAGGCTGGGAAGTCTAAAGGCATTTTGTGTCTGTCAAATGAAGGCATTTGGTGTCTGGCAAAGGTTTTCTTGATATGTCATTACACTGTGGGAGGACCACAAAGGGCAAAAAGAAAATGTGCCATGTCCATACATGGGGAAAGAGATAAAAAGCAGAAAATGGACCTAAGCTAGCTCCATCCAGCCCTCTGATAAGGGACTAATTCATTGAGCAGTGTGCCCTCATGACTTAATCATACCTGAAAAAGACCTACTTCTCAATACTACTGTAATGAGGATTAAGTTTCAACACATAAATTTTGGGGGACATTCAAAGCATAGCAAACACAAAAAGCAATCCATTTTCAACTAAGCAAAAAAGGAGAATTCAACTTGTTAATGGAGCCTCCTAATTTCTCCTTCCTCCATTCTCTTACCTTTTGGGCTTTGACTATTTACTTCATCATTTCACCAAAAGATGAACAGAGAAAAGTAAGACAATGAATGGTAATTCTTTTTTAGTTGAATGGTATGAATTACCATTCATTGTCTTACTTTTCTCTGTTCATCTTTTGGTATGCTTTTCATACCACTCAATTAAAAAAGAATTACCGTGACATTTCAGTGAATAATTAAATAAATTAAGTAATTTGTTAGGCATTATTGTATCATTTATATTTTCAAACATTGGTAAGTATCTACTTAACCATAATGAATATTTGAATTTATTTAATGCCTATATTCCAATTGTTATTATGCCTTTGGGGAAATTGTATATGGTAGCCTCAGAGGCAACTCTTAGTGTAGTTATTGTGGTTAAGGGGGAAAAAGATAATTTATGTGACTGATACAAATAGCTATATTGGGAGCAGGATATATCAACTTCAGGACTGTTGACATTTTGGATCAGAATAATTCTTTGTTTCAGAAGCTATCCTATACATTTAAGATATTTAATAGCATCCTAATAGATCTCTATCCATTAAATTCCATTAGCACACCTTTTACCCAAATTGTGACATGCTTTCTACTAGTGTTCCCTAAGAGAGGTAAGGCCAACTCCAAATGAGAATCATTGATTTAGACCAGTAAGAGATGCTGCTTTCACACTCTCTTATGCATATTCTAGAAGTAGAACTAATTTAAAAGCAATCCTTTAATGTTGTATTTTAAAGAACCATTCTTATTTTTTCCATCCTTTTGTTTTTAATCATTTCTAATTGGTTGTATTATTCAGACAGCTCTTTATTGTATTCACTAATCTGCCATCTTTTCTGTCTAACTCAATTATTACAATCACAAATATGCATTCAATTATAGAAAACATGTTCTTAATAAAATATAAAAGCATCATATAATACACCTAGACTGTTTTTTCATTTTGATTTATGCATAAATAGTCTAATGTTTGCTGTTAGGAAGAAAGATTTAGAAAGTAATAAATAAACTGTTATTGTAGCTGGAAAAGCATCATGTTTAGGAATTAGTAAAAATATTTATGTTCTAAGGAAATTAAAATACATATGGAAAGCTATTTATTTTAATACCCCTTTTCAAATCAAAAACATTTAACATGGATAACAATATAACATCTACAGAAGTTAACTTGTACACATGATCGATGGTCTCATATACATTGTGCCCCCAAAGTCTTGTGCCAAAATAGAGCCATAAATAAAATCTACAGGAAAGTTATATAGCAAAAGCCTAGAAGACTATGCTTCATGGATCTTTTGCTAGAACCAATTTTCATCTTAAAAAGGATTATAGTTCACAAAGGGAAAATATTAAGGGAAGAGAAAA